GCCAACTGCTTCGTCGGCGCGGCTGCGAGTCCGACGCGGAGCGCCGCTTATGTCTCCAACTTTTGTCTCCGCATTGCATGACGCCCGGCTGCCAGCACACCGTAAAGCACAATGACACAGACAAACCATAAAGCTGGCAGCCTTGTTTGGGCATGACACGGAGGTCTTAAGCCAGAGCTCAGGTGGCATTGGTACGGACACTGCACGACCGATTTCAGAAGTAATCGTGCTCGCATGCTTTATTGGGATTAGTTATGTTTTCGGGCTTAAACAAAAAACTTGAGGCTGCCGAAATCCGTCTCTAACTGATGATGAATCGCTTGAAGAGGCATTTCATTTTACAATGACTTGCACCTTATGAACACATCTGGGCCAATTTAGCCTTTTCACAGCATATAAACTCATGTTTTTGAACTACTTGTCAAGTTAACTAGACGTCTTCCTTTTTCAAGTAAAGCCGCATGTCTGAAAAATAACAACAATATGTGGCATGTGGTAAGCATTGTAATTTGTACTGGCTGAGTTTCTAAACGCCCGTGTATCGGTCGCGCAGTGCAAACCAACCGGGTCCATCAATTTATAGCCCTGGCAGCGAATTCCGTAGAACCTTAAACGACGACCATGGTAATCTACAGCGCCCTAATTTCACAGCTCAGTAGAGCGCTAGTCACGAAACCTTCATCCCAACTGGTGAGGCTGATCCACGTGTGGATAACACCTCACTGCAGCCAAGGCCACCCAAGATAAATATATATGGAGTGTCCGTCAACACGGTCTAAGAGAACCACAGCATGGCTGTGGTTGTCTTCATCGTCCCATTAAATTGTATAGCAAGTCTACTACATAGGTACATACTTCTACATATGACAACTTCAAATCAACTTTCATTTTAAATACGGGTGACGAGAACAGACATCGAAGACCATGGTACTGATTGTATAGTTTGTCCGACCTTTATGACCATTTTTGGGTCAATTGACAACTATTGGCAAAGACTTCGGCCCCAGATTAGCGATGACCTACCAGAAACAATTTGACATTCAAAATTGCCTGCCGACGCAGAAGGCGATAGCCATTCCAGCTACATATGTAACTTGCATCTGTTTATGACACGGTTCGTTCCTTCGGCCCTCCGACCGCTTCTTGCAGATCTCATCTGGCCCGCGCATCCACAAGTTTAGGTAGGCACGAGCCCACCTCCGGACAACACTGCAGGGCTGGAACTAGATGCGTTTGAGTTAACTATCAATCATGACAACTTCCAGCGTCTGTTAGCCGCGACTTCACGGCTCTGTTGATCTTCAGCTCTTATAGCGATCAACGAGAGAAAACAGGGGCGGATCCAGGAAAACTCCAAGGGGAGGGTCATGAATCGAAGTGGTGCCCCTACCTATACCCAAAATTAAAAACTCAACGGATTTCGTCCACTTCATTTTGGTGGGGCCCCCATTTTCAGTTTTTTTTCTTCTTTTTATTTTTTATTTTCAGTCAGTATCTTAACTCTTAGCCACAACCACATTTACCAATTGTAAGCAAGTATATATGAATGTGCTATGTGTATATATGTTGTGGACGCTGAGTAGTGAGTACTTACCAGGAACGTTATCAGGTAAGCAAATCGTTGTCAGTCCGACGAACTTGACCCTGGCGTATAAAGGGTCTGTCCTTGACACTTCAGGCTTGTCAGGGGCACCAAAGTCCTTCCAGGGACACCACAAACCTGTCACGGGCAACTACGGCCTTGTAGGGGCGCCACAGACCCGCCAGGGGCACCACAGGCCTGCCAGGAAGCAGGGGCACCACAGGTCTAGCAAGTATACACGACAGGCCTGACAGGGGCACAACGGGCCTGTTGGGCCCATGAGTACCCCTAGGGGCAGGGGCACCACAGTCCTTCCAGGGGCACCGCAGGCCTGTGAGGGGCACCAGCGGCCTAGCAGGGGCACCAGTCAACACAGGCCTGCCAGGGGCACCACAGACCTGCCAGGGGCACCAGAGGCCTGCCAGGAGCACCACCGATCTCGCAGGGGTAACTTGGGCCTGTCAGGGCCCAGGGGCACCACGGGCCTGTCGAGAGGCACTTCAGGCTTTTCAGGGGCACCATAGTCCTCTCCGGGCGCAGGGGTAGCAGGGGCACCAGAGGCCTGCCAGGGGCACTACAGGCCTAGCAAGGGCACCACTGGTCTATCAGGGGCACCACGAGCCTGTCATAGCCAGGCATCTCAGGCTTGTCAAGGCCCAGGGGCACCACAGGTCTGTGAGGGGCACCAGCGACCTAGCAGGGGCACCAGTCAACACAGGTCTGCCAGGGGCGCCACAGACCTGCCAGGGGCACCACAGACCTGCCAGGGGCACCAGAGGTCTGCCAGGGGCACCACCGGCCTCGCAGGGGCACCTTGGGCCTGTCAGGGGCACCACGGGCCTGCCGAGGGGCACTTCAGACTTTTCAGGGGCACCAGTCCTCTCCGGGCGCAGGGGTACCAGCGGCCTAGCAAGAGCACCAGAGGCCTGCCAGGGGCACCAGCGGCCTAGCAAGGGCACCAGAGGCCTGCCAGGGGCACCACAGGCCTAACAAGGGCACCACGGGCCTGTCAGGGGCACCTAAGGCTTGTGAGGGCCCAGGGACACCACAGTCCTTCCAAGGGCACCGCAAGCCTGTCAGGGGCACCAGAGGCCTGCCAGGGGCACCTCAGGCTTGTCAGGGCCCAGGGGCACCACAGTCCTTCCAGGGGCATTACAAGCCTGTCAGGGGCACCAGAGGCCTAGCAAGGGCACCACAGGCCTGCCAGGGGCACCAGCGGCCTAGCAAGGGCACCAGAGTTCGAAAAAAAAACGAAAAAAAAAGAGGCCTGCCAGGGGCACCACAGGCCTAACAAGGGCACCACGGGCCTGTCAGGGCCCAGGGGCACCACAGTCCTTCCAGGGGCATTACAAGCCTGTCAGGGGCACCAGAGGCCTAGCAAGGGCACCACAGGCCTGCCATGGACACCACAGGCCTGCCAGGGGCACCACCGGCCTGTCAGGGGCACCACGTGCCTGCCGGGGACACTTCAGGCTTGTCAGGGGCGTTACAGTCCTGTCAGGGCCCAGGGGCACCAGGCCCGTGGTGTCCCTGCTAGGCCTGTCATGCCCCTGGCGGTCCTGTGGTGCCCCTGTCAGGACTGTGATACCCCTGATAGGCCGGTGGTGCCCCTGGCAGGTCTTTGGGCCCCCGGGCCTCAAGGGGGGGGGGGCCATGACCCATGTGATCCCCCCCCCTTGGATCCGCCCCTGAGAGAAAAGGAGAATTGAAGCCATGCGGCACAGCATAACTACAGGCGCTTACTACTAGTGACATCTAGCGGCAATATTTTGAACCATGTGCCACGCACCATTTATGCGTTGGTAAGTTGTAGCATTTCATCGCTGTGATGCAAGTTGCCGGTTTGAATGATGCAAGAACCAAAGTCACCAAGCAGCTCCATCATTGATGGTGGCATTCCATCTCTGCCAATGAGACCGGGAACATCTCGAGTCGGGGGCCGATGCATCCAGTCAAAATAAAACTGACATGCGCTTATAGGTTGAAAGATCAAAGAACCGTCTCAAGGTAAAAATATCTGTCACCGAAAAAAAATCACCGTACTCATAGTAATCATCGTACAAATATCATCACAGCACGCCAATCACCAAAAAATATGTACCCATACGGTAGGTACACAACTAATGACAATCTAAGCCTACAGCCCTCTAACAACGCGGCCGCGGCCGCGCGTAAGGCGAGCGAACGCCTTTGCCAACACGAAGTGCCGATTTACGGTGGCAATCCCATTCTAGTCGATATCTCGTGTGAGCAAGTGACGTGGCCCGCTGACTAACCGACTCGTACGGTGTGAATAGAAATGACCCAGTCGTAAACAGGGTCTGGCTTCAACTATGGCCGGCCCTGATGCCAGAGGCGCACTGTGCCGCAGTGCGAGGAAACGTGCTCTTATTGATCTAATTTCTAAAGAACGCAGTCACCTGGGAGTCTGCACGCAAAAGGCTGTTTCAGCTTCCATAGAAACGCCGCCGATATCAGCAAGCCAACGAACGGCGGCAGCCAGCGCAACAACGAAACCGACCACGTGATGGCGATTGCCGTCCAATAAAAAACGGACTCGCAATTAGGAATATATCGCATTTGTGCAATGTGTGTCACTCTTAGCAGAATACCAATGCTCAAGTGTGGCTTTTGTCACGGGTTTGTTCGTTATCCCCGGGACAGTAGCAGCTGTCGCTGCGTCGGTCGCGCCACGCGGAGCCCGGAGGAGGGTAGTACCGGGAACTCGGTTCGGTCGGGCGCCACACCGGACCGCGCTCCCCCAGATATGGAGCGACGCTCCCAGTAGGGCGCACGTCGCACCGCGCGCCGGACCAACTGGTCGTAACAAGTTATCGCGTCCGCGGCGGCGGCGCGGAGCGTTGCGTGACCTCGGCCGGCCCTCGTCGGCAGCGGCGGCGGCTGCGGGCGGGTCGGCCGACCGGCCCTCGCCGCCGAGAGCCGCTAAACCCGGCCCGTCGGACGCTGCCCAATAGCGTGCCGGCCAGCCGATGCCATCAGTGAACTAAAATACATCAGACCGTGCATATGTAGCGCACATGCACGTCATTTCCTAAATCCCAGTGGCAAAGTGCTGCTAATGTACCCAGGCGTGTCAGTCAGATAGCAAAACCGCAGCGTTTTTACGCGGTCATATACAGTAAAGCTTGTACCTGCTCAAACAGCATCACTGTGGTAGCGTTTTTCGGCTTCCTTTCCTCGCCGAGGCGTCGGCGCCGCGGTCGAACCCGCCCGGTGAGCGGCGATCGAGCGCGACCGCGGCGACTGCGTCGGGCGCGCGGCGTTCCCAGCCCGCCCGGCGAATTCCGGCTACGGTCCGCTGTCACGCAATGCGGAATGTTCCGCCAGTGTTGGCGCAGTGGGCCGCCGATTTTTCAGCCGCCCATAAAGTCCCGTCGAGTGGCCAACACAGGCAGCGTACCAGAGTAGGTATATTTTCAGGTAGAAACAATATCACCCCAACGTCAACACCCATATTATGTCCTGCTCTTCTGACGCGCGTCACCGGGTGCAGGGGGCCCTCGCGCCGGCCAGCGCGCTGGGGACACGTGCCGACTGTATCAGGTCGCTGGTCGGAGCCCCCTGTGCGCGCCGATGGGCCACGAGGACACCCCTGCGACCCGGCCGGCCGCGCGGCACCGTCCTCCGGCGCCAGCGGCCACACGCCGCCTATAGGAAAACGGTCCGCGTTCAGAGGAAAAGAGGCGCACGGACGTTTCCGCAACTGGAAATCCCAGCAGCTTAGCTGAATTAGGAGACGCAAAAACGACGGAGCGCCGCCGCGCCGGCCGTGGGAGGGAGAGGCGCCACGCGGTGCGCATCGGTGCCTCCTCCCTCATGGCTCGGCGCGGAGACGGTCCGGCCGGTCCCTCCGACAGCGCAGCTCAGATCTCAGCGGCTGGCCGGAGGCGCGGCGCCCCGACCGGTGCACACAACACGACCAACAACAGTCCGAGCGAGCGATACGGCACTGGGCCGGCACAGCACAGCCGGGCCGCACAACCAAACACCGACAGACTGACTGACAAACACTGACGAGCGGGCGACGGGCCGGTCCCGTCGCGTCGCGGGCTGTGCGCAACACAGGGCGGCGGGGCGGGCACAACAGCGCACACAGGAGCACACAGCACACCAACAGTGCCCAACACAGTACAGGTTCTCACAGCGGCAAGGATGGATCAGCCCGTAACACCACAAAACAACGCGTTAGCAGCCGGCGGTAGCTGCCCTCTGAAGAAAATAGACTGCCCGACGGTCGGCAGGGGACCCGGGTGGTGCAGCAGGCATCCCGAACTCTGAACACAGCAATGCCTCGCGGGAACAGTGACCCTCTTGCTCGGTCCGCGCAGATTGGCAAAATATCGCTCGGTACCACTTCACCACTAAGTACATAAAACAGCCGGCCGCTTCAGAAGATGACCGGCCACAGCACAGGTGCGCGCAGACCACAACAATGCCTATCAATCTAAGCTCAAAACAAACATAGGTGTGCCCGATAAAACTCTACAGTCAGGAACAGATTAAAGCTCGAGGTCTGATTAGAATGTGAAATCAGCATCCCTTGAACGAACACATTGCAAAGGAGCAGCGGCAACAGCCACAGCAGCGGCAACGACCACAGCAGCGGCGACGACCACAGCAGCAGCAGCAGCAGCAGCAGCGGCGGCGGCAGCAGCAGCGGTATACACAGCATGCCGCAGCAGTCGCTCCTCGGCCGGTTTCCGTCTCGGCGGCGGCGGACGGCCATCCTCAGTGCGCGACCCGTCTCACCATCGACCCGTGTCACGTAGCAGCGTGGCCCGACAGCCCGTATCACATCTGCGCGTCTCGCAGCGCGCGCCTCCGTCCGTCCTCCCGGCACAGCGGCTCGCGGCGGCACCACACAGCCAGCGAGCGGCCGGCCTCTGCCCCGCCGCGGTCATCTCTTTACCAAACGTTATCACCAAACCCTCACTCCGGCGGCTTCTAAGCTAGCTGACCGCGGCACTACCGCACTTCGCGCATTGCTCTGAGCACCGGCCGCACGCTCTGACCGGCGGCGGGTTTCACACCACCCGATGATCACAGTCGGTCTCTGTCGGAGACAGACCCAGCTGCCGAATTAGCTCCGGCCCGTCGGCGGGCCATCGGAACCGACAGCCGGGCACCAGTGCGGCCGGGCTGGCCTCATCGCCGCCACCGCCGCCCTCCGGCAGCACCACAAACACGCGCCGGTAGTCCTGCGCCAGCGCGCTGTTACGCACACAGTGCAGCACTGCACTGAAGGTGGCCTCGTGGCCGACCAGACGGCTGGAGGCCGAGAACCCACCGCCGGTGGTGCTGGTGCCATTCTCCGCGCCGCCGCCGCCCAGCGCGGTGGCAGGGCCCTGCTCCAGCTGCAGCGCGCGCTCCGAGCACAGGAACACGATCTTGGCGTGTCGCAGCCGCTCGGAGGTCAGCACGTCAGCCACGGGCACGGCGCGCAGCAGCGAGGCCAGCTTGCGCTCCTGGAAATCGCTCACTTGTAGGCCGGCGTCGCGCAGGTCGGATTTGAGCTGCGCCAGCCGCTGCCCGGCCCACAGGTGAACGAGCAGCACCTGCGCGCCGCTGGGCGCCGCCGTCTTCGCCGAGAACGGCGCGCGTTGGCCGGGCCGCACGGCGGTGCACTCTCGCCAGACGAACACCAGGCCGGCGGCGATGACCGCCAGGGTGACGCCAACCACGGCGTACAGTGCCTTCATGCGATCGTCGCCGGCTGCGGGCAGCACCGCGCCGGCGTCTGTCGGCGTGTCGCTGAGCCGCACGGGCAATACGATCCGCTTGCAGCCATTGTTGCTGCCCTGACAGACCCACGAGTCGGACGGCAGCACCTCGAGCCGGTACCGGCCGGGAGTCAGAGGCTCCCGCGAGCCGTTCAACTCGACACGCACGTCGGGCGCGGCGTCGGCCACCAGCGGGCCGGCGACGCGGTGGTGTCCGCAAGCCTTGTCCCGCTCCTCCGGACACCGGTACAGACGCACCTCTAGCCGCGGAAAGTAGAACTGCGTGGCATTTTTGTCCGGCTTGAGGTGCACGTCGAGCCGCGGCGGCCGGCCGGCCAGCTGCACCGCCGATATCTCCAGGTTGTAGTCATAGTAGTCGAGCCCGTCAAAGTGCCAGTACTTGCGACAGTGGCTGCCGTTCGCACACGTGCAGCGCGCCTCAAAACAGCCGGCCACCACGGTGCGGAAGACGGCCACTCCGTCCGACACCGGCGCCGTCTGTTTGGCGTCGTGCCAGGAGCCGTTCTGGCCGCAGTCGATCGGCATGCCGCTGGAGTTTAGCATCACAAACAGCGAGAGCCGGTCGCAGCCGCACGTGTCATTGACGAGCACGTTGGAGCGCCGGTGTCCATTCTCGTTGGTCGAGTTGAGCAGGCGGATACAGCGGGTGTCGGCGGTGACGACTGCGGCGGCTCGACCGGCCGGCAGCAGCAGCAGCAGGAGCAGCAGCGGCGGCAGGCGGCGGCAGCTGTCCGAGATCGGGGCGGCGCCAGCCATCGGCCCCACTCACATCACCCGTCGGGGTCGGCCTCTGTCGGAACAGAGACCGGGGGTCAGTCGGCTCACCCAGGCGCAGCTGTCACACACGTCAGCACACCGCCCGGGGCGAGCCGTCGCCACACACTGACTGTCTGGCGGTACACCGGCCGGCCCGCCGGCGGTCGCCACACCGGCTATTGAAATGCAGACGCCGCCGAGCGCCGGCGTCCGAGAGACCTCTGTAACAGCCGGCCCCGACTGACGCAATGACACTTGTACGAGATGAGGCGCCGTGTGCCGGCACTGATAACGGCACGTATCGGCCGCCTGCCGCGCTGCTGACGACACATGAACGGACCAGATAGTGCAGCTGCACAGTCAGTCATTGCGTGCAACATCGCATGCTCCGAATAGCATTCGCCTCTGAGGCTGAGAATGCGATTATGTTTGCATTAGAACTGGCAGTAGCTGGTACGGCAACAAGTCAAATTACTTTGTTTACTTTGACGAATGTGTTTCTCGAGACCATGCTAGGTCGGAATCGCGGTTCGGCGTATGTAGGCTCACATTGTCTGCGCGTGTCCAGTCTCTTTGTGGCTGTTAACGTTCAAACATGTGAAATGATGCTGGCCCATGCATTTATTTTATTTTATTATAATTTGGGCCGAACCTTTTGAATGGAAGGATTCACAAGGACAGAGCTCCCGCTAAGCGGAGCTTGTTGCGTTGGCCCTACCCTCTACCTTCCGATCACGCAATTCCTTGTCTATGGCAAAATTTAGAGTCCGAAGGCTGAGTCACAAAAGCACGTAACGATAAGCAAACGGGAGGTGAACTTCAGCAAGACTCCTCACATCCGCAAGAAATAGGAAGACAAACAGGAATTAGGAACCCGAAACCTAGCGTTATGGGATGAACTGAGCTGATCGTCATAGGTTGTCAGTCTATAAGACTGTAATGGGTTCTGAAAGGCTATCCAGAAAAAGGTAACGCCACATGCATGATTCATTGATCCACAAGTGATCATTTCTCGAATATGCTATGCAGGTAAGAAGAACAGGATCAACTCCTCATCAAAGAAACAATACTTTATTACGGATAAAATATGCTACTTATGTCACTGGTCATACCATTCCGTGCGCCACTAATAATGTGGCTGAGCTGCATACGACTCAATCCACAGCCGACAATTAGAGGCCTCATACAATTAGAGGCCTCATTTGCAGCAAAACGTGGCTTAGTTTGCGAGCAGGAGCCAGAATGGTGCAGCATATGAATTAATCCATACTTTTTTCCGTTCGCTCCGAGCCTAAGAGCTTAGTTATCAAAAGGCGAGCACACGACCTCTATGTATTTATGACCACGTTTCCATGGGCATTTGAGACCCAGGGCATTTGAGCCCAGGCCAGGGCATTCCATGGACATTTGAGCTACCATACTATCCTAAATGCATATTTGCTCAATCTATTTACTTCAAGGAATTGACGTGGATTATTTGAAATTGATTCACAACCCAACACGACAAACTGATGAGATGCAGTCTGCTAATTAACCCTCGCCCGCACATGGGGGGGTTGCCCCCCCCCCCCCAGACAGTCTTTCTGCTCTGCACTCATCATTTTTAGAGCTAGAAGGCTGATTTTTCGTATAGCTGCTCGTCTATCCTTTCTTGATGTCCACTGAAAATTTCAAGTTTCTGTGATTTTTGGTTTCGGAGATATGACCTTGTTTTTCAGGTCATGTCATGACCCAAATGGCCAATTCTCAACATCTTGCGTTTGTCATGGGCTTTGTGAGGTTTTGACACCCTGATTTCGGCCTTTTTTGCCAGTCTTACCTCCCACCTATCATGGAACATGTTGTTCGACGATGTACAGGGGTCAAGGTCAGGGTCAAGGTCAACCTAGGTCATCTAAGATAATTGCGTTTTAGGCAAGCTGAATTTACTTTTTGTGAAGTTTTTTGACTGCATTTTTGGTAAAAGCTTCTCAGATGATGATTTCATGTGATATGAAACCAAAAACAATCGGTGCACACATCAGTATACACACAGACACACACAGACATACAAACACATATAATTGACCTTGACCTAACTTGACCTGAAATGACCTCAGCAGCAAAATTCTGGTCGGATAGTGTGACAAAGAGGTTCTAGCTGGCTTGGCACCAGAAAACAGCATCGTCATCGGTATTTGATAAACAGCGCACTTGATATCCAACGGTGACCCAAAACAGCAACATTTTTTAGTTTGACCTGACCTGGAAGGTCAATGACTGACCTGAGAAGGTAAAACTGGGTATCATTGGATTCGTCTCTTCCCAAAGAATCTTTTTGGTCTTTACTGCTAAGCTCTATCTCCAACAGGAACGAAATGGCGCGGGGGGGGTGGCAACCCCCCCCCCCCCCCATGTGCGTTCTAGGATGGGAAAATGGCATGTGCGGGCGAGGGTTAAAACACGTTTTCAAAAGATCGTCCAGATCTATTCTCGCCTTCTCTACTTTTCCATCGTACTTTCTTACGCAGCGTCCTCCTTGATCGGTAGGGAATAACCTCCTAACGAGTTTGAAGTTGGTTTCAAGTTAGCTCAAGCCTCAAACGGTGTGCAGAATTGCGCCCGACCGACAGGGACCGAACCGGTTAAATGCGGACAGGGGCGGATACTCAGACGTGTTGGTCTCGCTAGACATTGGTAGGCTAGACAGCTAGACATTTCAATATGACGGAAGCGGCAAACGACATTTGAGAGTTCAGAACTCTGGAATTTGAAAACTAGCAGAGGCAACTTTCTCAGTCAATTACCTCAGAGTTGCAGTTGCTGCGAGAATGTGGACGGTCATAAGTTAAACATTAAAAATGAGAATAATCTACACAACGTGCATTAACGTAGTTAGTCGTCAAAGCGACATAAAAATGATACCCAACTAACAGAGTGTCTAAAGACCGTAGTCCCGTAGGAGTAGGTATTCACGGACCAAGTCACTAACAGGATGAAATTCAAATAGCGTTTGATAGCCCCGCCGGAAACTACCATGTGACCCAATTTCACTGACATAGGTGTAACCGATAACGTCACAGGTCAGGTCAGGTCGCATTCTGAGCGTTTACTAAGAAATTTAAGGTCTTTTCTAAGAAATTTATAACATTGACTAAAAGGCATGCTATCCAAAAATATCGATAAAACATTGTTTGCCTACTACCAAGGAAGGATTTTGCCAAATAAGGTAACTGATACTGTTCAGGTCACAGAGATCAGGTCACTAAGGGTCACAATATGAACTCAACTATACACACAAATATCTATCATATGTATTTACATATGTATGATATGTACACATACATATCAACATAAGTAGATATGTAAACATGTAAATGTTTTATGGTCAATGTTACATTTCAAACTTAATGATGCGGGTAAGATGACCATTAGGGCCAGTTAAGGTTACGTTCTGGCGAAGGCCAGGTCAAGGTCACATATAAAAAATGAGCTTTAAATTGAGTCAAACAATTTGATGCCACTAATTTTGAGAGAAGTTTTTTTTCGCAATAACTTCACAAAAAATTAAGCAATTAATCTAAAATTTGGTAGCATCCACAACTTGGTACGTATGTCGATGGACGACCATACGTTCTGTTGGCGCAGCGTATCCGGCGCCGATACTTCGGCTGACTGATCCTCGGAAGTGGAAGAACCAGCGGTTTGCAACGAACGAGTTTGTTTGTGTATTGTGGAACCAGCCGGCTCAGCTTTGGCTCAGCTGACCGTGTCATTCCGCAAAATGTCTTTGTTTGCTTAGTTAGTTTAGTTATGTGTTATTTTGAAAGATTTTGTCAACGGCTAAATTAAATAATTATAGTGGACAGGGCAGAACCTCGGTGAGTAATTTCATATACTTGCCTATCTACTACTGTTACGTTCCATATCCTCGGCGTTACGTTCCATATCCTCATAATTGTCAGTATTTGTGTCAGAATTTGTTATGACGAATGCTTGTTTACTTTTTTGTTTTGCTTTGTTTCAGAAACCACTTTTACACTCTCACTCGATCATGTTCAGTTCAAATATATCGTCAAGTTCAATTCAAATAAATCACAAGTGATGAGTCGGTGCGTTTAGAGATCTGACCGTCTAAGAATTGGAAGAACAGAAAGGTAGCCGGCGACAACAGTTTCGAGGGTTCACCTACATTGAGGTATGGACAAAATGGAGACATTATACAAACTCACTGTTCATGAGCTAAAAAATGAGCTGTCAAGAAGGGGCAGAGCCTGCAAGGGTATTAAGAAAGACGTTTTAGTGAGTCGTTTGAAAGATGTTTTGGAATCGGGAGGCACTACCGTGGCTGATTTTCTCAATGAGTTCAATGCATCAAAAGGTGCCGATCTTGCTGAATTTACCCGTGGCCTCACCAGTAGATCTAGAGACAATTTAGGATTTAAAACGGTAGCTCCAGAGAAAGACTGTGCTCCTGATAAGCCCTGCAAGGATGCTGGTATAAATGTCAATGACAGTCAGGAGGCAGTGCCGGCGGACTGCATTTCTGAAAGGGTGGGCAAGATATCGTGGGGGCCTCCTGGCGAAAAGGGGCCTTTTGTGTATATGGGCCTCCTAGATCTGGTGAGTGAACGAACGGAGGGGTAAACGTGTATCACCGAAGTAAACCAACTAGCATAATCTGCTCTACAAGCATATTTTTTCCGCCAGCCAATTCAACGAAAACAAAATTCAAAATTGTAGTCAGCGGCGTGTTTAGAATATCGCGAAGGAAGGGGGGAGCAAAGGTTAGGAGGGCGCCGTATGTACGGTGACGATATAAAAAAAATCCTTAGCGATCGCTCAGGAGGGGGGGGGGGGAGGGGGTTACCACGCCACCAGCTTTTTTTGCGTATGTAAGGAAAGCGGCGACGCGCAGTGCTGCGAAACTTGGTATCGGGTTAATATCACACGCGACAAAAAGGTTGCAAGCGATTGGCATGTGGGTACCAAATTTCTTTCGACAATACGTTCTTTAAATGCCGCGCCGAAGTCCCGTAGAATTGTCAAAAAACCTTTTTCTGCTTTTTAGGCACACCTGTTATGCATTCACCATTCGAAGCTTTTCTTGTCCCTTTAGCAAAGTTAGTGGGACAAAAATAAAGGTTGGTGGAGACGTTCTGCCCATGGGTGACGGTGTAGAAAAAGTTTATTGGTGACGGCATCCACACCAAATCACCGTATCGAATCGACAACGGAGCAAGAGATGCGAAAGCACGCAAGCTCACAGCGAGAATGCAGCAGCATAGCAGCAACAATCTTCAGAAACACCAGTCATGGTTGTAAAATCAATCAGTTAAGACCAAGACGGGTTTCATCCATGTTAGAACGTAAATAGCTTTGGTAGGTATATATAGGAGTCGGCATTAATTCAAAGTGTGTCAACCATAAGGGGCTTTTACACCTTAGGAGGGGTGATTTGCGGTCTGGGTGTGTACTTGTGATGAGTTGTGAGCTTATGTAACACTTTGATTTTGTATTTATAGGAAGCTAGCACTGACGAAGATATATTCGAAACGCGTTTGCAAATGCTTTCTTTAATACAGTACCTTTATATTTAAAAAAGTTTCACTTATCTACTCATACATTTGGTAGGTATACTTCATTCATTGTGCTGAATACACGTTCCATTGTATCAGTTTTCCCAGGCAATGCATCACATTGTGCAAGAGAACGGCTATGCTGGGAAACATACTTAAGCTTACAAGTAGATAAATGATAGGAGGGCAGCGATCAACGGAGGTCGCCAATAGGTAGATGGGCTGTGATCGGCAGGATAGTGCCAATGGTTGAGAGGGCGGAGGCCGGAGATCATCAGGAGAGCGCTAAATAGGTAGTAGGGCCCCCGATTAACATTTAACAGGAGGTCGCCAAAAGGTAGGAGAGCCCCGATCAACATTCGACAGGAAGGCACCAATAGGTAGGCTTGGGTTGCGAACATCGGGAGGGCGCCAATGGGTAGAAGGGCGGCGAATGACAGGAAAACAGAAACACCAATAGTTAGAGGGCGTTTTTCCCAAGACGGTGATATCGAATAGGACGTCATCTGTGAGGAGCAAGGACGCCGATCAACAGGAGGGCGCTTGTGATCAGAAGGGCGGTGATCAACAAGACGGCGCCAATAGGTAGGAGGATGGCTATCAAGAAAAGGACGCCAATGTGTGGAAGGACGGAAATCAACATGAAGGCGCCAAAGGGTAGGAGAGCCCCGATCAACATTCGCCAGGATAGCACTAATAATAGTAGGTTGGCGAGCAGCAGGAGGGCGCCAATATATTATGAGGCCGTTTATTAAGAAGTGGGCGCCAATAGGTAGGATGACCACGTCATCAACATTCAACAGGAGGGCGCCAGTATGTAGGAGGGCCCCGAACAACGTGAGGGCGTCAAGATCAGAAGGGCGATGACCAGCAAGAGGACGCCAATAGATACGAGGATGGCAGAAGGTCGGGACACCGATACCAAACCAAATACCAACAATGATCAAGTGAAAATACCGAAACCGAACCGACTTGGGAATATGAGGAAAATACCAACTTTTTACCAAATTCACAACCTCTTTTTCATTAGTGAGGATTCATGGTACCAACAAAATACCAAATAAATTAGCCTTGAAATATCAAATACCAAGATGGTATCGGTTTGGTATCGGTATACCAAAAAGTTGGTATCCGATTGACGTATCTAACATGGAGGGCCTACCATGTGCACGGGCGCCTCCTGCATACGTTTAGTTCCTCATCCGTTCAGGAGACCTCCTCTGTACTCGGAAGGGCCTCCTCTGTACACTACGCGCCTCCCGTGTACGTGGAGGGCCTCCTAAGTCCTATGTGCAAGGGGCCTCCTTTGTATCCGTCACGCCTCCGCTTTAGATGGAAGGCCTCCCTGTGCACGTGGGCCTCCTGCGTACCTACGTTTCGTTTCTCCTCCGTTCAAGGGACCTCCTCTGTACTCGGAAGGGCCTCCTCTGTATACTACGCGTTTTCTATATGCATGGAGGGTCTCCCATGTGCACGGGGGCCTTCTGCGTATGTTTCGTTTCTCCTCCGTTCAGGGGCCTCCTCGGTACTCGGAAGCGCCTCCTCTATATACTACGCGCCTTGAAGCCTTCTCTGTGCATGGAGGGCCTCCCATGTGGACTTTTTTGTCCTCCCAGCTAGCCGTGAGGCCATAGCCGAGGTCCCATGTGGACGTGAGCCTCTTCTGTATCCGACACGCTTCCGCTTTAGATAGAGGGCCTCCCATGTGCACGGGGGCCTCCTGCGTACGTTTAGTTCCTCATCCGTTCAGGGGGCCTCCTCTGTACTCGGAAGGGCCTCCTCTGTATACTACGCGCCTCCTCTGTACATGGAGGGCCTCCCATGTGCAAGGGGCCTCCTTTGTATCCGACTCTCCTCCGCTTTAGATGGAGGGCCTCCCTGTGCACGTGGGCCTCCTGCGTACCTACGTTTCGTTTCTCCTCCGTTCAGACTTCAGGGGGCCTCCTTCGTACTCGGAAGGAGGCCTCTGTATACTACGGTTTGTCTATGTGTATGGAAGGCCTCCCATGTGCACGGGGGCCTCCTGCGCACGATTAGTTCCTCATCTGTTCAAGGGGCCTCCTCTGTGCTAGGAAGGGCCTCCTCTGTACGCGGAGGACCTCCCATTTGCACAGGGGCCTCATACGTACACATAGTTCCTCCTCCGTTTCTGGGAGGGCCTCTCTTTGCAGGGACTGGGAAGTGGGAGGTCTTCTGTCACGACAGAGCCTCATCTTAACATTGCAAAGTGACCCTGAGGGAGCCTTCTTTTGCATGAAAGTGCCATTTTTTGCACGGAAGCCTTTAGCCTCTTTCAAGCATGGCTGGCCCTAAAAAAAACGGAATAGAGGGCCTGCGGCCCTCTATTCCGAGCAAAGGGCCTCCACCCAGAACAGGGTGGGCAAAAAGATAGTTTTGCCCACCCTGAGATTTTTCAGGGTGGGCAGCTGCCCACCCTGCCCCCCGGAATCCGCCGCCCCTGTCAGGAGGCTGCTGAGGCTCAGGGGTTTGACACGAGAGATGACAACCACAAACGAGCTGCGTCTGAGGTAGCCAGCTCTATTGTGTCAATCGGGTCTACCTCATCGAGGCACTCCTCTTGTTCGCGCGCTTCTGTGTCGTCACTGAGGGCAAGGGAGCAGGCGAGGAAGGCAGGTCTCCGGGCAAGGATCGACATGCTGAAGGAGAAGCAGAAGTTGGAGGAGCAAGCAGTGGCGCAAGCAGTGGCAATGAAAATGAAGAAGGAAGAATTTAAGCTACGCATGGAAATCGCAGAGGCTGAAGCAAGGGAGCAGGTCTTTGCCGAAGAAGAAACGTCGGTCGATGCAAGAACAAGTCAACCACATCTGGTAAGGTCTGCATCACTCATAAGCCATGCAGCATATGACAACGAACATGAAGAGAGTACAGCCATAGTGGCATGCAGGGAAGAAGCTAGAAGGTGGGATGTAGAAGAAGAAGAGGCCAGAGAAAACAATTCTCCCAAGAATGATGACAGGGAAGGAGACACGCTGAAGGAAGCTGGAGAAGAAAGAAGCATGGATCAACGACAGGTTAGCAGTGAGACGTACCAACATGTCGACACCACACAGGCACTCCTGACCCACCTCCAGAGAGGACAGTTACCGAATGTCGAAATTCCAGTGTTTAGCGGAGAGATAACAAAATACCGATCCTTCATCCGGGCCTTTGAAAGTCGCATTTTGTCGAAAACCGAAGATGACGAGGAGAAACTGTTTTTCCTTGACCAGTACACCCGAGGAAAACCACGAGACGTTATAAGAGGCTGTTTGCACATGTCACCTGGTGCAGGATATCGGGAAGCTAGACGGCTGCTAGAGCAGAGGTATGGGGACGACGACTCTATCACGAATGCGTTCGTCGACATGCTCATGGAGTGGCCCCCGGTGAAGCCTGGGGACGTAGAGAGCTTGGATAGATTCGCATTGACGCTCAGGTCCTGCCATAACGCAATGGGTGGAATCACATCAGAAGGGAGGGAAACCGACCACCCGAAGACGATGCGGAGAATACTTGGGAAACTTCCGCATCAGCTGCAAGACCAGTGGCGCCGTTTGGCTGACAGGATTCAAGAGGAAGAGAGGAGAAAGGCTAGGTTTGAAGACATCGTCAACCTCGT